CCAATGGGCATGGGGAGGGCGACTCCAACCCCTTCGCCGAATACATGTGGATGGAGAATGAGGAGGAGTACAACCGTCAGGTCAGCGTGCATGTGCTCGCCGTGCACCACATGGAGTGTATGTGTGGGGGGGGGGGGCATGTGTATAATACAGACATGGTCCCTATAACGGAAGAGCCAGTTTTACAAAAATCTGAGAATTGGATCTAAAAAAAAAACAGTTGTCATAGTTGAGTGATAGGCTTACGCCCATAGAAATCTATGGAGAATCCCCACAAAGATGTAGATAGTGTGTGTGTGTGTGTGTGTGTGTGTGTGTGTGTGAGAGAGAGAGAGAGGATTCTATACAAGGGCCTGCAAATGTCACAAGGACAGTTGTGAAGGGCAAGCTGATGAATGACCTTTTTTTTTTTTTTCCTTCTTTGAATGAATTGGGAGGTCAGTTTAGTTACTGTTATATATAACAATTCTGGCTCCGCTCTTGATATTGTCCCACCAGACATAATATTCACAATGTTTAAGTGCCCCTGCCCAACCTTGTTCTCATGCACATTTTTTTTGTCCAATCTGTTAACTTCCAGGTGGAGGAAGAGCTTCTGGAGCAGGAGTTTCTGGAGCGCTGTTTCCAGGAGATGCTCGATGAGGAGGACCAGGATTGGTTCATTCCAGCAAGGGACCTCCCCTCTGGAGTGGGGCAACTCCAGCAGCAGCTCAACGGCCTGTCCGTCAGTGATGTCAGCACCGAGGATATCGTGGTGAGTCCGCTGCATACACCCGTCTGCTTGCTTACATTGTTGCCATGTCGTTTAGGCTTTTCATGTGCTGGGATGAAACCTCTGGTCTTGCAGCCCATCTTACCTGCCCCCATTTTGTCCTCTGTTCCCCAGCGCAAGAGCAGCTTGAATCCCGAAGCAAAGGAGTTTGTGCCAGGAGTGAAGTACTAGGGTCCCCCTGGCACCAGGGGGCGCCTTTTATAGACACTGGTGACCCTCGGTCACGTCTGCACACACTCAAACAGGGGCGCAAAGGAGATACAGCAAGGGCAACTCCTCCTATAAGCTTTTTATTTCAGTTTTTTCCAAGTCTAAGTGTGGGGGGGGGTGGCAGGGGCTCAGCTACAATCCCTCCAGGACGTTACACAAGTTACACATCATACTCAGTATTGAGCTGTTCTTCATCCTCCGTTTCTTTAACCCTGAGGACTGGTCATGTGAGTTTGTATGGAGAGGCTATTTTTTTCCCCTGTTTGGGTTTATTTTTCATGCTTTTTGTTTTTGTTTGGATTTGTGTCTTTTGGGCAGCAGTGTCCAGGAGTGGGGAGTGGGAGGAGCTACTGGGCATGGCAGGGGGGGTCAGGTGACCAGCCTTGTGACCTGATTAGACCAATAGGAAAGCCTGTGGGGGATTCACACAAAATCATTTTTTGATTTAAGTTGAAATCCTGACACAAAGTACGAATTTCATTAAAAAAAAGGAAAAATGAATAAAAACAATATACCTATTTGGATTTCCATTTCAGTTTGGTTTTGTGTGTATGTGTGTCTTTTGGTTGCAGGGCACCAGTGAAGATTAGCTGGCAGCTGAGCCCTTAATAAATTTACTAGGCCGACTCCTGGTACCTCAGAGTTAATGTGAGGGTGACCCCCCCCCCCCCCTGGACGCATTGCGGGCACGTTGTCCCCACTGTTCTTCCTGCTCATTTCTCTCTCTGTTGCTGTAAGTGTGTTTCCCAAAGTGCTAGCTGCTAGCTGTCAGCTCCAGCATGTGTTCTGAACGGGTTTTATCGGCTGCGTGTAGGGGTGCTTCATTTAGTAAGAAACTGTCCCTGATGCCCTGTCTTGGACAGTTTTCTTATCTAAAAGCATTATAGTCATACCCCGAAGGTGTTTTTCCTATTTTGCAATGTCAGTTGTGAACCACTGCGGCTTCTGCATTGAAACCTTAAACGACCCATAACACAACTGCAAGTCTGCTTTAAGATTTTATAAGAAACTCTTGTTGAACATGATTGCCTCTGGCCTATTACGTGTGGCGGTGCTGGGATGGGGGTGTATTTATATGGGGACCCTTTAAATGATCCCCCCCCCCAGGAATGCCCATTTTCCGGTTTTAGACAGTCCCATGTGTGGTGCTGTTTAATAGCATACTCAGCCATAAAATTCACTTCTTCGCTGTTTTTCCCTCATTGTTGTTCACTGCTGATCTGATACTTAATGCTTCAGCAGCTTGTCTTTTTTTTCTAATGATATCCTCTATGAAAGAGGCAGTTTTATTTAATCATGTCACAGTGCAGACTGACTCAGGATGATGCCAGGTGGACAGTGGAGCCACTTTGTTTCATTAAACTGGTAGGAGTCTGGTTCAGACACCTGGTAGATGGAAAGTCAGTCAATGGAGACTAACTCGATGTGACTGATATCTGCTCACACGACGGGATATTAAATGAGGATGTACAGAACATTTAATTTGGCCTAAGTGTATGTCAAATTTTACGTGGAGCATGGGGAGAGCATTCTGACTGTACTCTTGTGGAGTATCTTGATCTTTGGTGGAAAACTGCACTGATACGTGAGTGTGTGGTTTTTCCAACCAAGCAAGGTGAGGGAGTTTTAGGTGGAGCAGGGGGGCAGAGGATTGGCATTTCGGAGGGCCGCTGGGGGTGGGGGTCTTCACATGTGTCCCTGTACTCTGTTAACCAGTTTCTCCTGCAGGGGAGCCACAACACCCAGTGAAATAAAGCATGTCCCCTCCCTTCCATGTACTCACCTTCATGCTCAGCAGCATGGGCAGAGAAACTGTATCTGTGTAAAGCTGCTACTGTAGGGGATGGTAAGGTTCACCAGTTTGCACCAGTGCACTGGCATAAAAGTCCACAATGCGATTACCTCTATTTTTAAAAAAACTGCACTGGATACAGTTTGGGAAGAACTCTGGATGAATGGGTAAAATCTGATTGTTTAAAACTGATAATTATCTAGAGGGCAGGGCGTATGCCATTATTTAGTAATGTGACTAATGATTTTTGACTAGTAATGTTACATTTAGATTGATTTCCTCTCTAAACTTTCTGTTTCTGTACCATATTGAATTCTATAGCATCATTTTGTATCACTTTATCTCGTTGAGCCGCATTGTGTGAAATCAAATCGTGTCAAATTGCACTGCATCGCAATAGGGGTGAATCATACTGAATTGCAATAGCAGTTGCTTTGTTGTTATCTGTAATGTATCGGATCGTTGGCAATGCATCAAGGTGTGCATCACATCAACCTTAGTGCTGGAGATGCATATCCCTAATGCATTTTACATCTTCTTGCTTTGGTCTTAACCCTGCCATTAATCACACTTGAGAGCCTACTGTCCCTGCTCTTGGCTAACTGAAATGTTTGAGATGGACAGGGGAGAGCCAGACATGCCAGCAGGAGGGATGATGTGCATGCAAGTCTCTGAGTGAGCCGTGGCCAACTTTCGATCTTATGGTCAATAGCGGGTGCCCTGCCTGACAGATGACAACAGTTTCTTAATTATGGAAGACAGAACGTGCAGAGCCTCAAACTCAAACTTAGCCCCAAACTTAGCCTCATTCCTTTAAATCTTCTGCACCACTGAAGCCACCTGACACTTCAATACAGAGAGAGCAGCAGTAAGAGTTAAGTTTTCAGTTTAGAAACAAATGTTCTCATTACTGCATGTGACATTCAGCTATAGGAATAGTATCCAACTTAATAGTTAAATATGTCAAATCTGGGCACAATGTGACTGTGAAGTATTCAAAGCTTAGTGATGTCCTCCATGCAGAAGCCAGAGGGTACCTTCGGTCTAATGCACAGAGTCAAGTGTTTAGTGTTTTTCCTAGTACTGATGCCATTGAATATGTCAGCTAGATGTGGCGATGTCACATGTGCCCATAACAAACAAAAGGAGCAATGGGTTAGGAAGCACTCTGGGAGGGATTTGGGAAAATCAGCATATGACACAAAAAAACAGGAGTCACCAATGAAGATATGTTGACTTCTTGGTTAGTTCTCTGCTACGTACATCAGTGGATCCAGTAATGTTTCAATTCAGATTTATAAGGGTTGGTGTTTGTTTAACGTACATTTGAATACCTTAGAACAGGGGTTCTCAAACTATTGTGCTATTATGACTGGTCATAAAAGGAGATTCCTCCATATACCACTAGAGGGAGCTCACATGCTATAGTTTGAGAACCACTGCAGCCTGCGACAGTTTACTTCACAGGTGGAAGCTGTGGGCCAGGTTTCAGTTTGTATACCTGCAGGGGCCCCTGAGGGTACCGCTATGTATGTGACCCCCACCTCCTTCATGTGGCAAAGCATCCTGGAATAGGTAAGTAGCATGGATATTACCAACTCATCTCGACCCATCCAATATAAGGATAATTTTAATCTGTTGTTGACAGTTAACATTGTTATTTTGTAGCTTTAACAATCTGAATTAAAACTAAATGTACTATTATAATTACACTAATTCTCAATGTATTAAATGATGAGCTTGATATGAGTCCATACCTGAACCCCATAGTGAGAAGTATTTTTTTGTTTGTTTTATTTCAGAAGATTTGCAGAAAGCCAAAAAAACTATAATACGCTGAGTAGATTTAGTGCGACAAATGAGCTTCGTTTTCATTGATGGCGCTTCTGGAATTCTGGGTGATGTCATACGCCTTACAACCAGGCTGGCTGCACGACCACAGATTCTGATAGTCGCTGTTTTCTGAATATTAAGTCAGTCATATTATACAAGCCTGAATTGACTCAATACACAGGGTTCGAGCAGAAAGCCTGCGGTATATCTAAGCTAGATCAACTGCAACCCTATACAACAGCAATGAAAACAACCTTGCAGGTGTGATGTCACAATGCTATGCATTCTCTGCTCTGTGTGATGTTTAATTGAGTCATTTAACACCTGTTATTGAACACCCCCCCCCCCCTTTGTAAAATAAACAGGACAACTGGCTTTTTATATTACAATAACTTTTGTCATCTTTGATTTTATTAATAAGCAATATAAAAAATTCCCTTTTATTATAATTTCAGCATTTTTCAGAGTAAGCAGATATAATCACTAAAAAATACAAGACAAATTTTTTAAAAACCCTTGGTATCAAAAAAGCAAAAAGGTTTCATAACAGTTGATATTAAATGCTGATTTACAGTGATTTTATATCAAGTTCAAACTAGATTGGCTTATTCCAAAATTCCCCATCCCTTCCATCCTGAGTAAAAGATGGTTGTACAGTACAAGCTTGATTGCTGGTTTGTGTTTCTCTTCATAAAGCACATTTTTTTAAAAAAAGAGAAGCGACTTACAGGGCTACGTATTCACTTGTTGCCAAAAGAGTGCGTGTAGAACACGTCTGCATTGGCAGAGTAATCAAGAGGCAATGTGACCCCAATGCTGCGGGCACCCAGGCTGGCGCCCCCTAGAGCCGAAGACTGGTGCAGCGTTAGCAGGCTGTACCCAGTGAAGTGGCCCCCAGCGGCCCTCTCCAGCACCTCCATGAAGCCTGCCAATGACAACATGGAAGTGCGTGTGGTGTGACAGGAAGGCATTTTCTTTTGGACTAAAAGTTTAAAGAAAATTCCCTAACATCTCTTTTGGGAGAGCAGGTGAGCGGTCTGTCCCATGGAAATATAGGAGCTTCCCAAAGACTCCTGGGAATCCTGTATAACTTGTGTGCCGCTGCTGAGACTATGTCCACTGACCTGGTTTAAGCAGCTCCCAGCTCTTCCAAACAGATCCTACACACAGAATGGGCAAGCCAAGCTCTCCTGAGAAGAGACACTAGGAGAGAACACAAGACAGGCCAAGGTTATAAAAGACCACATCTAGGCCTCAACAGGCCTCAAACACACATTATCCATGTACCCATCTATCCTAGGGTATCACAAAGCAGGATTTCTTGCTTAACAAGAAATCCCCTGATTACAGGGTGGCTGGAGTCTGTCCCAGGCAACTGAAGGCACGATAGAGGAGATGTCCAGGATAAGATGCCTGTCCATAGTAAAGCAGATATTTACACACAGGCGTTCAAACACAGAGAAATTCAGAGACATCGATTCACCCCATGTTTGAGAAATACAGGAGGAAACGTGCAAAAGCACAGCTGGCTTTGGTGGCCTCACCTGGTCAGCTTTGGGCAGGACAGCCACTATATGTTGAGCCAAAGCTTTCCCAGCTTGAGCGAACACATACTGACACAGAGCATCTCCAGCTGTGGCCACTGTATCACAGCCAGAAAACAGAAAAGGTCAGAGTCAGCTATGACCCAGCAATCACGTGACACACACAGTGAAAAGGGGGGTACGGGAAAATGACAAAACCAGCTAATTAAGTCAATCAGCGGACCTTCAGACAGCTTTCTGCAAAACCCAGCGAAATGGGACTTCTCAAAGGTTCTGTAGAAGTGAGGAAGCATGCCCATTCTGTTGGTCACCTAGATGACAGGTGGGAACAAACACAAAAGTTCCTTAAAATATTTCAGGCACATCACTTTGAAGGCTGACTGCTGATGATCTTACATTGTCTAAAGTTAATTTTGGCACAGCTGTCAAATGAGGAAATGGTGCTGCTCCCCTAACCCTTCTTACCTGGAAGTACTCTTGCATGGCGTTTTTGACGTTAGTGATGTCATGAGGCGGAGTCGCAAAATTATCCATTGCGTCAAATACTATCTTCACAGCAAGGTGAGAGATCCAGTAGGCTAAATAGTCATTTAGAAGAAAAGCAAAGTTTTAACATGTCATACATTTGCTGAGAAATTTTAATCCAACAAATTTCCAATGCCACAGTTTAAAATTTTTGTTTGCATCAGCATTTTTGATTTTGATTAAATTTGGCACGTGAATTACATGTATCTTCCAGAGGTCGGAAATGTTTTTATATATATATATATACTTCCTTTTGAGATATAGTGCCTTTTTCACACCCTAGGTAGCATGCCAAATTTCATCAAAATCAAAAATGCTGATGCAAACAAAATTTTAAACTGCAGCATTAAAAATATAATTATATAACAATCTGGTTATTATTATTATTATTATTATTATTTATCATCATCATCACATGGTGACAATTTGAAAACTCCAGAAGGGTCTGTCTGAGTCTTCAATGTTGCAAAGTTTAAGTCCATGCACCTTGTCAGCTATTCACTTCTGCTTACTGAAAACTTGTCAGACCATTAGAAATTTTCCAGTATACCAGGTCTTTTCAAAATAATCTGGTCATTTGTGCTTCAAGTGAAAGTTCTGATAAGTCTCCACCTGAATCCACATATTTGTTTTCCTTGTGCTCCACTGACTACTTAAGTCTTTGCCAGCACCAAAGTTCTAATGCACCAATGCTCTTGTCACACTTCTTCATCTAGCTTTCACATCCATAAAGTCACAGCATATTCTGAATAGTTCTGATATTTGTTTTTAAAAGTACAGTACAACTTTTGGAGATCTTGGAGGTCCTTCATCACAGCTCTCCTAATTTCCAGTGTGTGACGAATGTCTAGATTGCTGGATCCTGCATTGTTATTGTTTCCAGTGAATCAATGCTAAAGCTCATTTGTCTTCACCATCAATGCTAATGTTAGCTGCCACCGCTTTAGTCAAAATGTGTTTTCTTTACACTTAGCCACACCCACATACGTTCACTCTGTTCTTTAACTTTCCTGAGTCTTCTGATTCATTTCTTTTTCTACAATGTCATCTATCCCTGTGGCTCTCATCTTTTGGAAGCGATTTCAAGGCTATTCTGGCCTCTTCTATTACTGAAGGATCTTCCAAGAACCATCACATATGCATCATCAAATATATATTGGTTGCTGATGTCACTGTTGTAGATGTTGTCTGTGGATTACTTCACCTCTGTCTGTCAGTTATCTGCCCATTAAAATCTCTCTGCATTCACATGGGTGAGGAGTTTGGGTGCTAAATTAATCTGAATTTGTACCTGAGCCCTCGTCACCCATCAGGTGACCCCAGCCTCCACAGCCCACCTGTGACCCGTCAGCGTTCACCAGCCTGCAGTTGGATCCAGTCCCCGAGATAATGACCACACCCCCTGAAGGGACAGAGAGGAGGTGCGAGCAGGTGTGTCAAATCAGACCCCAGCTCCCCAACAATCTGTACGTCCGTACTTGGTGTGCTGGAAGAGCAGCTGGCAGTGAGGAACGTGTGAAATACAGCACTATCAATTCCATTTCATTAACTGCTTGTCTCGCTTTTTCATGCACTGCTAGCTGATTTTGAGGATGGTTATTTAACTTACAAGGACAAGTCAAAAGAATTACACTAGTATTTAAAGAAAACGGTAGGGCTAAACAAATTTCCAAAAAAAAAAAAAATCTTTAAACTAGGTTGTAAACTCTGTGTCATTCAAATAAGAACTGACAAGGAGATGATTATGCTTATATATATTCTGACCCAAACTTAGGTGATATGACTTAAGTAAATTGCACCGGGACTCTGCTGACAGATTCTAGAATGGCTGCACCTCTACCTTGCTCTCTGGCAGTTGCCATGGCGCCAATGGTGTCGTTGGAGATGTGGTAGTTGAGGCTCAGTTTAGGAAACCTCCTCTCCATCTCCTTGATGAGCTTCTCGATGGCCTCTGGCTGCTCCCCCCCACTCAGAGACATACCCTGTGCACACAGCCATTAATGCTTCTCACACGTACTGAGGGCCTTGTGCACCAGTTCCACTAGGTCTGCTTTTACCTGCTATGGCTTTTCAATGTTGAAACAAAGTTACATTTCCTCGATCAAACTGCATGTTTAAAAAAATGTTATTATGCTGGCATTTGCACGGTTGTGTATGGCACCGCAGTCTCACACTCGATGCTATATGCCTGTGCAGCTCTCTTTGTTTACGCAGGTTTCCTCCCACGACACTCATTGGCTGACTGTTGCCATGTATGTATGCCATGACATAAGCTGGAATCCTGTCCATGGTGCTCCCTGGCCTAGGGCACTGTGCTTCCCGGGATATGCCGCTGGCTCATTATGGATAAGTGTTTATGAAAAATGTATGGATGGATGTGAGAATGCATAAAACACAATGTCTTATTGCCTTTGGTGATAATGTATTTGGCTGAGGCTGACTAACCAGGGAGCGAAGGGGTGTGTCTACATCCAGTCCCGCCTCTGTCTTGGCTTTTTGCATCATGTTGTTGATTGCCTCCAAACATTTGTCGACACCTATTAGCTGCAAGAGAAGCAAGACCAGCTTTCATTGCACCATCTACACTGCGAACAGATTCATGCCACCATAATGTACTGCAATCACTCTCCACAGAGTTCTGCACTATTACTGTACCAGCTATACAGAAGCTGAATGCCTCCCAGTGTTGCCTGACTCATGATACTTTACGGATTCCTACCCAATGATTGGTACATGGCCCATCTGTTTCTGCGATGATCTCTCCTTCCTCAGAAACCAGCACTGCTTTGGACGCAGTCCCACCTCTGACAGAAGAGATATCATATCCATTCAATGCAGTCCAGCAAGCAAAAACAAAAAACCGCCACTTTCCGGGAATACTTTAGCCTTTGGTAACCGGTATAGTTATGCAGAAATAGACGTCCTGGCTGACAGCTGATCGTTAAGATCAGATACATGCAGGAGATAATAAAGTAATAAAATCGTAAAGTAAGGCAGAAACTGGAAAGAGAAGCACGCGAACTGTTAAAAATCTGATTTTCACATTAAACTAAATATATAGCGGTTCAAATCCTTCTAAATAATGTAGTCGTCGACTGCCCGTTAAGAAAGAATCGATAACTACATTTAAAATGTTGACATCCATACATCCAGCGACAGGACAAAATTCGTACTTCATGTATTAAAATCTGGCTTTTTTAACGAACTGAGGTAAGAAGCTTTACTTGTGTGAGTATTACTTCTTCTTGACACCAAGCTACTATAAAAATATTTTTAAGTGAACATATTTGTCTTTTTTACTCACCCCTCCACACCGCCGTAGACTGAAGCCATAATCTACCTTCCTTCTCAGACCACGTGACCAGTCACGCGCCTGTATCGGCGACAATGAGAGGCGCGTGCATCCTGCGGAAATCTCGCTTATATTAAAGATTAGGCAGAACATGTCTGACCTTATCTTAATACGTTCACCTCATCATAGTTACAGAAATCACTAAGACTATTGGCTTGTAAAATCATAGTACAGCGATTATCTAATTTTTACTTTTTACATTCATATATTAAATACTTTAGACTTCTAAAACATGCAATGAATTGTCGGATATTACCACCAGAGTGCAACATCCTTCCACATTGTCACATTGTTTCTTATCCCACATTGAACTGGTGTCTGATTCGCCTTTTTTTGTTTTCGTTTTTCTTTTTGAAGGGGCTGCGGGGGAATGTGCTATACGGTCTATATACTGTATGACAGGAACGGTGAACTACAATGTTCAGTATCTGTTCATACATTGATCTTCTTTTTTCAGATTAGTTTTTGCGTGCATAGACTATGTTGTGCAAATTTTAAAAAAGTGACAGCTCAATAAATATTTTAATCTTCTCCCTCAAAAAGTAGCTTGCTTGAATAGTTTTGTTGAAAATGATGGTTTCATGTCTAGATGGCGCTACAGCACTGGCTAACCGAGGCGCCATTTACTTTGTACTGCAGTACTGTTTCGTTTTATTTTGTCCAACCAGACAGGATGGCCTTCATTCACATCCCGCATTGACAAATCTTGGCCACCCCACACCCAGCAGATCGTGGTTTTTCTCTCCTCTGACCGATCTCAGTAGGTATTCATTCCACAGGCCTTGCCATTTTGGATGCGGTTGTCTGGCAGTAATGATTTAGCCCTTGTCTAAGTCACTCAGATATTTCCCTCTGCCCATTTCTTCTGCATTCAACATGTCGACTACATACTTTTTATACAATGAGAGCTACTTTTACAAAGGAAATAGTCTGGCAAGCTACCAAACCGCAATGGTATATGTTCCTGAGGGAAAGGGTGCCTCTGCCTAGAACATTATGGAAGTTGCATTGTTATCAATTAAGAATGCTTTAGCAATCGACCAGTTGATTGAAATCGACCAGTTTGGCACATCTGGTCTAATGTATCCCAGACCTTGACAGGCACTGCTTTTTCAAAATAGTCAACATCACCCTCACTGCATGTGGGGGGATCATAATGTTTTGTCTCATGGATGTATAGACCAAGGACAAATTCATGGGGGAGTCATAATGTTTTGTCTCATGGATGTATAGACCAAGGACAAATTCATGGGGGGGGGGGGTCATAATGTTTTGTCTCATGGATTTATAAATTCAGGGTTTATTACCAGCCACATTAACAGCAACACCCCAGTAACATAGTGGTAACATGGCATCTGACTGAGATCATCTTGTGTCCAGTGTAGTTTTTTTTCCTTATCTGAGCTTTCTGATGATCTAAGTGACTGTGACAGAAAAGGGATGGCATAGGCACACGGCAGGCCTGGAATAAGCGATTGGCAGCCAGTTGATAAGCACAGCTGTGGCAGACATGGACTTCTTCCTGCAAGGACACAAATGATGGCTCCGACATGCTGTTCACTCAGACTCTGAACCTAGGCTGATTTTACTTTCACACTATCTACAGCAGTGTTTCCGAACCCAGTCCTTGGGGAACCCCAGACAGTCCACGTTTTTCCTTCCACTCAGCTCCCAGATCACTTCTACCAGGTTTACGGTGTTCCTGATTGGCTGGGAGCTGGGAGGGAGCAAAAACATGGAGAGTCCGGGGTTCCCTGAGGACTGGGTTGGGAAACACTTATCTACAGTGATGGTTGCAAGAAGGGTCTGTAGGACTCAAAAGGCCATTCATCATTTCATATTGTGCTCCATTTGGTTGTGTAAGTGCATGGCAGTGTGTGCACATAGTTATGCTTGAAACTTCATTTCATTTGTGGCTTCATTCAAGTCTGGTTGGACAGGAAATCAAATTGACCCAGTTTACCAGGCACATAACCAGAAATAAGTTTCATTGGGTGGGCCCAGCTACTTGATTGATAGGTCCCTCTTGGTCGATTTTGCCAATCAGGGGGTTGCCCTCAGTAGGTTTCACTGACTGGGGGGAGGGATTAACCCACATTGTGATTGTTTAATTCACTATTGACCTTAAACCAGTGCTCCTGATGATCATACTTGATATCCCTGGCGGAAGAATTTCTTAGTCCAGCAAAGATACTCAGATCCATAAATAAGAACCAGAACATATACATAGCATGAAACATGTACAGTACATGCAGATGTAGCAGGGGCAGTGATGCTACACAGATTTCACAGAGAAAAAGGCAAAGTAAAATCCCAAGCAGTACAAAAATAACAGTCCTAACTGACAATGAACTGCAAAAGGCTCAAAATGCTGCCAGTGTTTGTAACTGAGCAATATACCTTGGAAGAATGATGCAGTAATGTAAACAGCCATTAAATATACAGGGTGAGGCAGATAGAGGCTTGATAAAATTCCTTCAAACTGGCTCGTTTGAGAGCCGTTTGACACATTACATAGCAGGCGGAGTCCTGAGTCAGTCAGAGGCACCATTAGATGTATTCGCCTCTTCTGGACTTGTACTTCATACATGTATTGTGTAACACGTCTGGGCATTTGTTGCTACCAAGTGTTGTTTCTCTGTCAAACATGCCTACAGGACAGTTATAACAGGAAGGCGTCTAGCTTGCTGAAGAGTAGACTTACAGCAATAGTTCCCGTCCTTAAATATAAATGTTTCCTCAACATATTCCAGCTCCTAAACCAGTGAGTGACCCATCCTCCCAAGTTCGCCTGTCAGACATTTATCTTTAGTCTCCCTAGATGAGACATTAGCTTCATATCCTGTATGAAAAAAAAGATGCATACAGACATCTGCCAAATGATCTTGGACAGAGGAAGAAGCAAACCGAAAAATAGCCGTTAAGAGAAGGAACACCGCAGAAGTGTTCTAACGGATGCACAATGACGTCACCGGCCGTCGTGACCGGGTTTACGCCCAGCGCAGCACCTTTGCACCTTTTACATTTTGTACGAATGAGCACTCTTTGTGCCGCCGCTGCTCTGCTGCCTTTTGTTGAAACAGACAACAAAATTACCATGAGTTCAAAGAACAACATGTGTGATGCTATAGAGCTAAACCTAGTTGTACGTTAAGTTTCAAGCTCTGTACAGGTGGTGAGGTTTGAGGTACATTATCCCTAATAGACGTTTGATCTTTGCCACCGAGCTACACCAAGATAAATTTAAGATAAGATACATTTCCGGTAAAGTGAGATGCATATGTACTGTATTAATGAGGGTTAACACGGTGGCAGGTTTCTAAGAAAAAAATTGTCTGCAGGAATTAAAAAAGAAGTCAAATTGGAGATACGCACATTCTGTCTGTAGTTTAACTTTTGTTAACGGAGAGAGAGAGAGAGAAAGAGGGAGGGAGAGCGGGGAGGGGGGGGGCTGCTACTGAAGATCGCCCACAATAACAGGAGGAGAGGGGAGAGATCAGGCTTCCGAAGCACGACTATAGAGCGTGCTTAAACTTTTAGAGACACCTTTCTAATGTCGGGGATATTTCTGTATTATCGGTTTATAACAAATCGCACTCAATGATTGCCAGCGCTGTCGCTTGCATTGCTTATATTTATGAAGCGGAAGTTGCAGCAATAGGAAGTCTGAAAAGAAAGAAGTTAAGAAACTGAAAAGACGAGCGGGGTGTCGAGATATTTCGAATTTGGCCTGAGAGAGTGGGAATCGGAGCGGGCGATGGACACACACGTCAAAGAGGGGCAGCTTTACGTGCAGCACCAGAAGTTTGGCAAGGTGAGTCCGCCCGGGCAGCGCCGCCGATTATCTTTTAAAAGGAGAGAAATTTCTGCGCATCTGGAGATTTCTAAAATGACGTTAACTGTCTGCTATTTAAGGCATGTGGCGTTATTTTACAGATACCCGCAGACATTCCGTTTTAAACAAATCCTATGCAATCCTAGGCACGACTCTTGATTTAGGGGTGATCAATTACTGTTTTAGTATTTATAAAAATAGGGAAAAGAGGAAGTCATAATGTCAAAAACAAGTTTAATCTGAAATAACTGAATGTTGCTTAGATTAAAGAAAAAAAGCTGCCTCGTGCCTAATTGACACAGACATTATGTTCCTGCTTAAATGATATCTTGATTTAGGAATATTCTGCAATAACGGCATCTATTCCCCTGTGGCCTGAGGCAGTCAGATGAACGCAAAAATATTTTTTTATTAACATCAGTCACTTTCTGAGATCTCCTTAAGTAAACATCATCTGTCTTAAGTTGGGAAGCTGATTTAAGGGAGGTTTTAGCTCACCTATATCCTGCGAAGTGCCTGGATGTTAAATTCAGTTTGTAGGCAGTTCACCTCGAATGTGCTTAAGTCTGCGCACAATTTGTGCTGATCTCCGTTCAGATTTACACATTGGATTTTGAATGGTTTTTAAAACTTTCAGACCCAGTTCTCTCTTTACGTTTCGAAGGGCTTGTTATTTTATTATTGATCCAAACTCTGGTTCTAACCCTTTCACGTCCCTAACTTTCTGCACGGAGGCCTGCATTCCTGTAGGTATGTATCGGCTTTCTGTCTCACTCCCTGTCTTTCGGGTTATAGTGAGCGTGGCTTCTTGGTCATTTCACAACAGTGCGCATTGCAATGGAGTGAGGCAGAGGGATACAGAAATAGAACGACCGGGCACGATGGAAAATGTGGTGACACACACCTTGTACACACCTCCGATATCCAAGCCTGGTGCACACCCTAGTGTGTGCCGATCCCGGTCATTTGTCACGGAGCTTTTACACTGTTTATACACTAGTGCCAGGAGGAATACCTTTAGAAAGCGGTCTTTTATAAATTCTCATCCACTTTCTCGTGTTCTGATGGTGTTTCCCCCTCATGGGGGCTGAACTGGATATCTGCTTTGATTGGGCAGAATCTGCTTATGCGTTGGTGGGTATGTCACAGAGCTATGACATTGCAGTTTCACCACCAATCTGATGATCAGTATTTGGTAATATAAATTATTAATAGCACAATGGATGGTTTATACGTTGTGAACTTGTGATGGGTAAAGTTCAGGTCTTGCAGTGTTTGCCAGGACTTATTTTTATATTTTTAATAAAAGTGTCAGTTTGCTTAGGAAAGAAGAATCAACTAGTAATAAGTTCTACAGTGTGGTGATTCTGGGTACATTTTTCCATCTATCCACTTATTTTAAATGTTCTTTAACTGTAATTCCTAGTTGATTGGTAATGTCTGTTTTCAATGGCCTCTACGGTGAACTAAGAGGAAGCAAGTGTCATAGTTTAACCTTCAAGGGGAGCTAAGGACGAACCCCCCAGTCCTCACTGCCTAGCTGTCTCCTTGTGGGTCCCCCTCCCCCATAGCCAAGTGCTGCTAGCCTCTTTGCCCCCACTTGTGAACTCCCAGGCTGGTGATGTCACGGCGTGAAGCCCCAAGCCCCGGATGACGTGTGTGCGTAGGAGGAGCCGGGGGTGAAGCAAGCTATGCGATCTTACATGTGTGGCTGACCGTGCGCATGTGTACACTGCGGAATTCATTTGCCTCACAGAAGTACTGTATAAAGGCCAGAGAGGTCAACACCGTCCTCCAACTCAGGCACACACACGCCATTGAATGACTACTGTTTAGCACTGAGTTCTTCCCTCCCGATTCAAAGGCTCGACTTTACCCCGCTCCTTCCATGGCACCTGGAATACTATGTGGGCAACACATTCTGAGTGCGTTAATGAGAATATTCCCCTATTGGTCATGCCCACGCTGAGCTGTAGCCTTGTGGTCATCATTTAGTTTTGTTCAGTGTTAGCCGGTTAGCTGGAAGTTACAGCCGTTTGGGTTTCCTCTAGTCCGTATTTATCGGCCTCTTTACAGGCCTCGGAGCAACTTATGAAAAGACAGAAGTACAAGTTTTCTGGCCCTACATGTTAATCGAGGTTGCGATGTGATGTTTGGGGACAGCTGGTGGTGCAGTGTCCTAAGCACTGTCTGCTGGGAGAAATTTGCAAGTTACCGTTTGTGTGCAGTTACTTTGAAACCACATGATGCAAAAGAGTCACCTTCAGGTCCTGTATTACATTACAGGAATGCGTTGGACCGCTCTGACCATATTCCTGTTTTCTGGATCTTGGTGGTCGTGAGTGATTGGAGGGACTGTGTACTTGCTGGCCAGCTCTGGCAGCTTTACCAGGAGACCTCAGCCTGTCAGTCACAGCCGTGGGTGAAACTGGTTGAACATGTATGAGTTAAGCAGGTAACCAAGGTGGTCATCATTACCCTGCCAGTTTCAGTCTATGCAGTCTATGCAGGGTGTGGTTTCTGCTGCACCCTCCTCTCTTATCGTCAGAGCCGACCTGGATCTTGCCGGTCGTGGCACAGGGTTGGAGGTTCTGTCACATATCTCCCTCAAGCCAAGAGGCGAGGTGTTAGCATAGCTTGCGGAACGTGTCCATTGGTTCTGTATGAATATCGCCGCACCCAGCCATACCCTCCCAGCACACAGACTGATGCTAAAGTGACTTCCAGCCCCCCAGTGCAGTCCGGCATTACCTGAAAAACAGCACCGGCTGTGGTGGTTTCTGCCTCAGGTGGGGCTCATGTGTCACCAGATACGTGGGTGAGGTGATGTCACTAACCCTGGGGACAATCCGCTGAACATACTATGACAAAAGAGGACTTTACAAAGTATAAAAAGAAATTTACCAATCTGCTTGTACATTGGGAGGATATTGTCAGGCCCAAAAAAACCATTATGGCATCTAGAGTATGGATCAGTTCAGCCTTGTTTAAATATTTTTTTAGTTTTTTTTAATACGAGGTGTCTGTATTTCTGTATTTGCTGAGATAATATCCATTGAGGGTAAAGCTGTTACCCACAGTAACTTATAAATAAGTCAGCACTGTTTCTGAACCCACTCCCCCTTAATTACACACATGGTTTTGTTGGCAGATGGAGTTGGTTAGCTGGTTAATTATCAAATGTTAGCTGTCAGCAGAGCGGAAATTCACCACTGTATAATGGTTATCCGAAAATATTAACTGTCAGTTATTTATGGTATTCAGTTTTCAAAAGAACTTTCAGTTTATGTAGCGGCCTTCAGATATCAGGCTGGAAATCTGACAGTGACGTGAGTCAAGCCGCTTAAATATTACTCGTGGTCGGCCGGACTCTGACGTGCAGGTGCTCGGTCAGCCGGACTCCGACGCGCACGCGCAGGTGCTCGGTCAGCCGGACTCCGACGCGCACGCGCAGGTGCTCGGTCAGCCGGACTGCGCACGCGCAGGTGCTCGGTCAGCCGGACTCCGACGTGCACGCGCTCGGTCAGCCGGACTCCGACGTGCACGCGCAGGTGCTCGGTCAGCCGGACTCCGACGTGCACACGCAGGTGCTCGGTCAGCCGGACTCCGACGTGCACGCGCTCGGTCAGCCGGACTCCGACGTGCACGCGCATGTGCTCGGTCACTTTGCAGACCTGAACAAAGTGCGCTTTGACTAAGAGCAGTCAAGGTCATTTGGAATTTAGAGCTTGTAGCTAATCCAACATTTTAGGCTGGGAGAAGTTCTAATATATGTATTTTAAGTTTAAAATTAGGCATGATAGTTGAGAGTAGAAAGCGTTGAGAATACCATGACTATAACACAACGGATGAATGAAAAGACCCCCAGCTCCTTGCTCTTATGAACTGCCCTGCCCTCTGGCCAGCGGCTCAGACAGGGACTAGTCATTTCTCATGCAATTCACTGGTGTCAGATGCATCTTCACTTTCCCCCCCCACTAAAGCAGTGAAAGTACAAGTGTTGGATAGGAAGGGCATGATGTACTTCAGAATCTGTTACGTGTGTTTGTGCGTACACATATTTCTGTTTTTTTTTTTTTTTGCAGGTCTCATCTTGGTTAAAATTGTGTAGCCCTGCGTGTTTCCTGTTTGCAGTGTTATGCATGTGCGTAATAACGGAGTGGTGTCTTCTGGACTGGTGTGCCCTGAACGAACCTTACAGAGCGTCCAGAATGAGTGCTGTCTTAAAGGGAGCAGAGAGACGAGTGGTGCCTGATCACCTGAGCGTTCAACCCAGCAGTGGGCCAGTTTTAACCACTTGCTCTTAATAGTGATCAGGCTTATCGGACTCATCTAGTGACACGTTGGCTGCAGTAGGACTGAAACTGGTATACGGCGTTCCCCTTGGCGTGGGTTCCGACAGACTCGTTTCTCCCATTGCCGCCGCAGTACGACACATTGCAGCTTTGATCACTGCCCCCCACAGGTTTAGCTCTGCCATTACACTCCACCCACAGAGCACGCTCAGGCAGTTTAAGGTCTGAATCTTTTTCGCCGTGACTCTTATCATGCCTTAGTCAATGTGGGAAAGAACAGGGAAATATGCTAGGCCTGCATTTGTTTAAAAGACGACTAAAACTGTGCGCCTGCCCCCTCCAACGACTGAGCTAGCGTTTCATTTATGTAAATATGGCTGTGGGAAATGCATTTAGTATCAGCCACACTCTTAAAAAAAACTCTGAACGGCGTCATGTGTTTTAATTGCGTGAACATCAACGTAAAGGTCACAGTTTAATGTTTATCGCAGCGTTCTAACGATGATCCGAAAGTGTGCAACATATTGTGTAGAGAAGAGGCAGTAATAATTTACTTTGAATATAAGAGAAGGGCCTGCAGAGGCTTAGTGGGGAATACTGTTACCTCACATCCTCTGCTGTGTGTGTGCTTGCATGGAGTTTAATTTTCTTAGTGTGTCACCCTCCACGGTCCAAAGACGAGCAGGATGAGGCTGAGTGCCGACTTTAAAGTGGCTGCAGCATATCCTGTAACTGACTGGCGTCCCATCCAGTGTCTGTGTCGGAGTCCCTGTCTTGTTCCCTGTGCTGCCTGGGACCGGCTCCAGGCTCAACAGTTACCAGGCTCAGGATAAGCGGTAGGATGATGGATGTAACAGAGAATTCGTTTTTTTTTTTCTTTCCTTTGAGTAGCTGCTTTGGCAGGTGGACGTTTTGAAATGTTATTGTGTCACGGCGCCGTGACTGAATGCCTGCAGTGTGTTGACAGATGCGGTCATCCTGACACTCTTCAGAAGCGCACAATCCTTTCTTTCGCTGTTTGCCCAGCAGCAGAAATCAGGGGTTCGCAGTTTTTTTTCTTCAAGCCCTTTCTGTTTAGGAGTGACTATAAGTCAGCATGGCTGTTGTACCCAGGGCTAATATCTAGCTTTGTTCTACCCATATATGGGCATGCTAGTGGTGGAGGAGCGGGAGGTAAGAAGTGAAGGGAACAAACTGTCTGACCATGACCTGACTCTGTATGCAGACTGGCCTTCGTTGGCTGAAGATATCAGGCTTGAACTCTTCCCACTTCCATGTACTTACTAACTTACCGATTTTAGCCCCTCCCTGGTGATATGTTTTATAGGCCCAAGGTTACGGGTCATGTGATAATTTACTGCCACAGGCAGCCAGCCAATGGGGCGCATTCGAGCATTCCATGGTGCGCTCTGAACCAGCGTCTTGGGATAGTGGGGTATTAGACGGTGACATCTCCAAATTTTGTAGGGGAGAGGCCCAGGGCCAACAACAAAATAGGGGGGGCATCTGACGATGAAAAATGTGGGCGCTTACTTGCACAAGTTGCTCATGTTTCCTTAATTGCCCAATTATTATGGTTATGAATAGTGTATACCAGGAAATTGCAGTTGTCACATATGTGCATTTGGGAAAATTGTTCCACATTCTATGATTGACACCACTCTGATCTAATGAAATTGAGGGCAGGGCTGATTTCAGGGGGGGTGGTGTTACCCCAACTCCCCATTGGTTCCAGTACTGGTATTAGGGCCTGTTTCAGCTGCTGACTGCTCACTTATTTGAGTAGCAGAACAACAAAATGTGTAATTACATTTCCATTTGTATGCCAAATTCTGTCTGGATGTTGTGGTGTTGAGAATTACTGACACGTAAAGGCATTCAAACAGGTTAAAAAACAGGCAATGTTGAGTACCTTCATCTAACAGAATGTATACTTCAGCGGAGAATGCTTAACGTTGTGTTGAGCAGAGAGACCTCCTCCAACCGGACGCATGCTCTGAGGAAGTTGATGTCAGCTCTCTTTCTGGGCTTTGGAGTTAATTTGCATATTTTCTATCTGACATGCCACACTGCTCTTCCTTCCTTCCTTTCCCGTATTTGATGCCTTTAAACCACGGCAACAGTTTCCATGGAAATAAAGAGCATCTAGTGACTGTTTTATGGTCTCCAGGACCATAGTTGTCACTTTCATATTTATAAAAAGAAACCTTTTTTTTTCCAGTTGCACATGTAATTTCATATTATAAATACTTTTTACTGCTTGATGACTTTATGGTGTGTTATATAGCAGAACAACTAATCAAATAGAAACAACCGCGCATTCAGGTAGCTGATTTGGAAGAGGCCAGGTTGTATTTCTTATATGGTCACAGTTTGTTTTTGCCTGAATTTGAAATGCTGTCCCAAAATTCTCTGCCTCCTAGATTATTAGTTTTTAACATGCGGCTGAATATAGATAAAGGTGTGGTCCTGCTCTCTGGAGGATGTGCTGGTAACTTCAGTTGACTGGTGAAGCAGTGACTCTCTAAAACACGCTGAAGCCAGAGGCACTTCCCTAACTTGCTTCCTCCCTGTGTGTATGATCAGGGCCCTGGGTTCCTAGGCAAGGCCCCAGGTCTGTCACCCTCAGCCAGAGGGGACTATGGCCTGGTTGGCCATGCAAATGGACCGAGTGAGGAAGCTGCTGCCCTCGGGCGCGTATACGCACCTGCAATTTCAATAGGAAGTGAGGTCTGATGGTGGATGTGTTCCTTCCTCTTAAATGTGCAGCCACACCATCTCCTCACCACATGTTCCAGTTCACAGGTGTTTATTAGTGGCTGTTTTCCTTGTGTTTACCCAGACAAACACTAGCATCCTTTACAGTTAGCTATTCAGCCCCCCCCCTCACAAGAGATACTACATATTTCTTTGAAAATCCAAGAGATATTGTCATATCTTCAATGAGGAGACACATGTTGTATATTATGTCGGTGTGGGGAACATGTTTCACCCTTTCTGCTCTGACACAACCTGCTATCATAATGAGTAATCACTGTAATTATGAAATCATTGTAACCTGACATTATCTTCTGCTTTGCATCATCGCATAATTCTGCCAGGGATGCTGGTGCTTAGTATAGCATTCAGGGTATCTGCACATGAATGAATGTCATGAAAATGTGACTGTCCAAAGCTCAGTGTGATGTAAACGGCGGGAAAGGTCGAGGTGCCTGCAGCACTATCAGGGTTTAGGGATGCTGCGGTCTTGGTTTTGAGGACATCCCTCAGGCTGTGTGATCCCAGGGCCAACGTGGTCGTCGCCTGCGGTCACCCAGTGGCCATCACACACCAGGACTGTGTCTCTCCAAGTTTACACTCGTCTGTCAGCAACATACTTCTGGTTTACTGAGGAAACTTCTCGCTTCCCTCTTTTGTCCCATGGAGGAAGGAGCTGTAAAGGTTACCGGGGCTGCAAAGGTTAATTTCTTGTCGCTTTGGCATCGTCACCCTGGTCAGTGGGAATTTCGTTGTCCTGTGTTGGCAAACATGGTGCATAAAGATCGACGCATGTGTACATTTGTGGGGGTGAAACATCCTTTTTTTTTACGCAAGTGGCCAGTCACTGCACTAATGGAGCATTTTCGCAAGATTTGCATCATGAGTAATGAAGAAACACAGTCCCTTATCTGAAATAGACATCTAAAAATGTGAATAGGATATAATATGTTTAATAAGCATTTGTATTTAATGCCATCATCTTCTGCAGTGTTATGTGTCATGTCCTATGTTTAAAGTGTGACATTTGGACATCTCTCTCCCTCCATCTGTCCTTCAGAAATGGAAAAAGAACTGGTTTGTGCTGTATCCTGCCAGCCAGAATGGAATCGCACGGCTGGAGTTCTTCGACAGCAGCAATGCCAGTGAGAAACCCAATACCAAGAAGCTGGACAAGAAGATCATCCGGCTGGCCGAGTGCATCAGCATCCTGCCGGCCGTCACTGAGGCCTGTCCCAAAGACAACATGGCCGCTTTCTGTGTGGAGACCAATGACAAGACTCATATCTTTGCTGCTGAGAAGCAGACCACTGCTGAGTGGGTGGAAAAGATGTGTGAGATCGCTTTCCAGGTAAGGGCCCCAACCCCGCGTGTGGGAGGTGTGCATCTGTGTTTATGTGTGTGGGGCCGCTGCCTTTACAATTAGGGCTGCATGACTGTAAAAATTTCAAACACTGCGATGTGATTTTTTTTTTTTTGTGATGAATATTGCAATATTTATAAAGCAAAAAATGGGTAGTACTATTACCCAAAATAAACTATAGCCAAATCTGCCAAATTAGCTGCTGGTGATGCTGCAAGTGTTTCCAAATTGCTCATAGGTGTGTGTGTGTGAGTGTGTTCTGCGGTGGGTTTGGTGCCCCATCCTGGTTGTTCCCTGCCTTGGCCTGTAGCCTCTGGGATCGGCTCTGGACCCCCTATGACCCTGAATGGGACAAGCGGCTTCAGAACAAGGATGTATGGATGAATGTTGCTCCAAGTACCGATAAATAATTTGCTTTTGCTCAATATCGTCTCTATGGAATCTGAAATATTTCAACACTGTGAAAGACGCATATTGGCGTCCTGTTCTTGTTCACTTTCTCCTCCTCATTGTTCACAAACACACTGTGCTGTCAATGACTGACTGACAGCAAGCAAGGAAATGACTATGATTGGCTCATAGAGGGCAAGCAGAGCTCACGGAAAAACAGCAGCGTAAAAACTTCACACTGATTTTTAACACTAGATAATCTTGAAAAGGAACATTAAAATTCATTAAAATTACAAAGCTTCCTAAGTTTTGTTTTTGGATGGACAGAGTAAAAATGCTTTAGTGACACTGTTTTGGCTATTTTCGACTCTCAAATAAACTTGGGTGCTTTTAACAATACTGACAAAATACCATGTTATGGTGTAATGTTGAGATGATATGACAGTATGACAAATTAGATACCGGCTGACTATCGTGGTCCTTGCAATGTGACAACTGCATGTGTATAACACGCAATGTCCATATTAACACTTGCATATTATGCAGGTTTGTTCACAGTGTCGTTCATGTGCTGGCTCTGGTTCTTCGCCTGCAGAGCTGAGCTGCTCGTAAAATCTTTTAAAATCCCTGGGTCGTGACTATGGGCCCATTGGTAAGTGGCTTACAATTCAACAAACGCTGCTCTCTGATTTTTTCGGTAGAGGGGCAGTGGGACAGACACCAATGGCCAGGAGCTGCAGATGGCAGACAACCTGATTTACTACTCCAGGGAAGAAGGTAAGAGGAGACCATTTACTAAAACAACAACAAAAAAACCCCTCAAAAAGTTATTTGTTGAAAATGGGTGCAGGGTTTAGCCTAGTGATTAGGCCCTATTGCAGCCGGGTTCATAAGGAAAATGTGCGTGCTAAAGTCGAAGGAGGCCACTTGTGATTCTCAGTACTGCTGAGGTCTTCCTCTACTAACTGCTTCAACAAAATGTCCAGAAGTACTTCACTGCAGTGTCACTTTATGTAAAAGGGTCTAATAAGGAACTAAACAAAACAATATAAGGTATACAGAGTGAGGTGAACTTGACACCAATATGCTGAAGCTAACTGTATTTGCTGAACTGATAAGCCCAGGCGTCGGCTGGGCCGTACCCAGTTAATCACCCGATGGCACAATTCAAAGGTCCCAGTTGGCACATTCCGTGTGTGGATTGCATTTTTCACCCTGTAATAAGGAAGAAGCTTTGAAATGGTGGTCATGATGCGTAGTGTAATCGCCATCTATCTGGTTTTGTTTTTAGACAGCTTACTGCAGCGTGAGGCATCTCTGGCTTTGTGGGGCCAGATGCAAGGTCCCATAGTCTTATAAAAGAAGCTGCCTTTTGCTTGTGTTTTTTTATTGTCAGCTCATAGTGCCTCCTGCAATGATGTTTGGCTGTATCTGCCAGAGTCGACCCTTTGCGTTTGCCAGCTCATGCTGTTATGAGCAAGCTCTTCTAGGAGGCTTCTGCAGGCTCCGGGATTACACACAGATCAGTGTGTGTCAAAGGTGCAGTCTTGTTTGACAAGCAGAAAAGCCCAACAGGAATCCACTGAAAATTAAAATAAATAAATAAATAAATAAATAAATAAACACTGTCTCTGGTATTGGAAAAGCAGCATCCTGTTGATCAAAAATAATTGAATTCATTTCAGAGTTAGGGTGCTCATGGTTCAATATGTATCATGGAATTGAGCCCATGGTAACAGTAGGGTTTACGCAATCTTACTTAAGGGAAAAAAAACGAACACATCACCCGTTAATTAAATTATGAACCGTTATTTAAATAATGAACCGCATATTTAGCTTGTTAGCAACTTGTCTACTTGCTCGGTAGGGGTCTCCCAGTGCAGTGCATATTATCGAGCCGTTCGGTACTTATAACATGGCATTACGTCGTGAGGGGCTGATCCACATTTTTTCAGTTCTGATCCAATTCTGTTACACAAGTGTCAATACCGATTCTGATACAAGAGCTCTTTTTACTTGAATATTTTAATGTAATAAATATATTATATATATTTATACTTAATATGTTAATATTTTTAAACAAGTAAATACAGATTTAAAAAATGCATGGCAAAAAAGCTTTAATTAGGCTACTGGTAACGCACTGTTCCATCTCATTTTTGGTAGCGTTTTTAAGGCATCTGCATCTTACACTTGGTTGTGATAGCAACCCAGCCCAAGCTCAGCCCAAGCTAAGGACTCCCAAATCATCCATTGCTTTTTTTCATATTCCTTATTCTTGTTGTCTCGCACAATTGCGTGCGCTTTGTTTAGTTGGATTTTCCACTAAACCCTACTTCCAACACTCAAAACAGATTTTTTTTTTACAGATTGCAAATCGCTGCTACTTCTTACTGTTAAGTGTCAAAAATGGCCAAATCATCACCTTCTAATCTGATATTCTTGCACTGTGTTTTGTTCCCAAAAAAATATGTCTAAAAAAACTTGGGTTGTCTTATTTTCGAAGGCTAAAATTTAAATGTCATTATACAACAGCAAATGGCATTCCGAACAGTTCAATAAATCTGTGATACCGTTTGCCCAAGGTTCAGTATGTATCATTACACCCCTGTTTACGAGGTATTTCATTAAATTCAGGGGATTAGATTTCGGCCTCAGAACAAGGAGCATCTGAATCTACATTAAGTTCCCAGCATTCGAGTTTGGGTCTGTAAAGAGGACAGCTTTTTTCGTTTGTTGTTTTCCTTTCTTGATGTCACTTCCGGTGCCATTCCAGTTTCACACAGTCCCCGCATGGACACCAGCATCACTTCCCCTCAGTCACATGTTTGGAGTGATTCAGCGTGTTTGCTTGCTGGTCAAAGGCAGACACTTCCTTTTGCAGACACTCGCATCCTCTTCCTGCCAGCCAGAGAGGCTGTGAATTGAAGGAAAGAGAAACATGCTTGTATACGGAAGAAGCTCTTAGGCATCTCTGACCCTCAGCTGCCCTGGTTTGTGCACAGCCCATTGCTGCGAGGTTAAAGAATAGCTTTGGGCTTCTATTTCAAGATCGACTGCTGTCAGTGATGGAGGCTGCTACCAGATTTTGGTGGAGAATCGCATAGCTGCAAATGCCTTTGAGAAAGGCCCTTTACCCCAGCTGCCCCCAGGGATGCTGGATAACTATGTAGCCAAGCTTCACTCTCCTGTGTCACTTAAATAAAAAATAATGTTAAAATATAAAAATGGACAGATGCCAATTGCTTAGCTCCTGTGTCAGATAGGGCTAGGCAATTAATCGAATTTTAATTTCTTACCATTTTGGATTCCAACAATTATTAGAATAAATGCATAGAGAGAAAATGATTACTGTGGCGCTTTTTTTCTCCCCTTTTTCCAGTGATGCTCCCATTTTCTCGTATGTTATAAATCCAGAGCACCCCTTTCCCAGCCCCTCTCAGTTAGACAAGTTTTGTTTTTTAAGTTCGATAAATGCATGGCATTTCCACAGTCAATGAGTAACCATGTTGAATAATCGTGATCTCAATATTGACCAAAATAATCATGGTTATGATTTTTGCCATAACAGCAGCCCTACCGTCAGGTGTTACCGGGCACTCCTGAAACATGCTTGCTTTGAGCGTGGACTGTGTGAGTTACCCCATTGCTGCGTGTGTCCCTTCCCTCAGTGAATGAGTACTGGGTTAGTGTGCAGCGGACGGAGGCCTCTGAGCGCTGTAGCCTCCAGGGCACGTACTGGCTGAAGGCCGACAGCGAGAGCCTGATCCTGAAGGAGCCCAACACCAAGAAGATGCTGCTGATGTGGCCATATAAGCTGCTTCGTCGCTATGGCCGAGATAAGGTCAGGGTTCAACCGAGCCTGTCGTTGCCAGGGGTTACCAACCTGTTGTGCTTATTCTAATTGTAATTCTTAGAAATACAGATAGATTGTCAATCTATGGTAATAGTTAAAAAAAATGTAATGTCACAGAAATACTGATAATCTAGTAGATTTAATTCAGTTCTACCAACTTATTAGTAATCGAGGGATTCTTAAGCTAAGTGTCTGGTTTCTGGAGCATGATGCAGTTAGCAGATGGCCTGGCGGGGGATGATGGAAAGATACTGAAAAGTTGAATAAGACGATCTACATGATGCTAAAGCCTCAAACATCCTAGAGACGCCTACATATCAGCAGGTGTCGATGCACTTGTCAGGTTCCTCTAAATTTTAAGCGGCAGCAGTGGACGCCGTTCTGGTGGGCTACTCTGGTTTTGCTCTGTTGCCCTGGGCCTTTGAACCCCAGGACAGTTTTATCCAGGTGTTGTGGGTCTCTTGTAGGTGTGAAGGTCAATGTTCTGTTGTTTCCCCCCCTTTTTTTTGGGAAGTGTTGGTATGGTGTCAAAATCAAACTCAGCTTGATGTAGCATTTCTAATAGAGGATGGTTTGAGAACTTAAGGACAAAAATACAATTTACACCCCCAAAAAATCAGATTATTATTTACAACAGTTCAGATATTCATTCAAGGCTTCAGAGCTTCTGAGTGGAAAATATTCAAACTCGTCATTTAACTGAATCAGCTGACTAGTAGAGTGTGTGCGTCCGCATGCTTCCACTCCGCCTGTTGGAACGCATCAAGCTGTAACTCTTTTCAGAAGTCAAAAGTGTTTATATCACAGATATAGCTATTTTTGGCTATCCCCTGGGCTTTTGACTTTTGTGCGTCACCTACACGTTACATATAGATATCTGCTTTCTGTAATCTTTCCGTCCTTTGCTGACCTCAACTGAATATGAATTCAGCCCACGTTCAGCCTATCTCCAATATTACTCAATGTCATCATGTCCTATCATGCTGAGAATAAATTAAAAGAGAATGTTTAATAGAATTGTTTAATAGAATGTAAAATCATGGTATGTCAAACGAACCCCTTTCGCATCCCATTTTGATCTCATATTCTTCCATCCAGGTCATGTTCTCATTTGAGGCGGGTCGGCGCTGTGATTCGGGTCCTGGGAACTTCACCTTCGAGACGAAGCAGGGTAACGAGATCTTTGGGATTGTGGAAGCTGCTATCCGGGAACAGAAGGCCCAGGCAGAAGAGCGGCACCAGAGCTGTCCATCACTGGATCTGGACAGTGGCTCGCTCCAGCAGAATCGCTCTCCCAATTCTGATAGTGGCGGCGACCCAGATGGTGATTCTGGGGGCAGCAAGCCTGGGTCAGCCGATGGTGTCTTTGGGAAGAAGGATGCGGAGGGGAAGAACCTGAAAACCCGTATGCTTCCAGAACCTCCTCCAGCAGTGTCCAGCACCCCACCCCGCTCCCCTCTGGCCCGTGGTACCAGGAGTGCTCCATCTCAGGAGGACCAGAGCAGTTTGTACTCTGAGCCAGCAGATTCAGTACGCATACCCCCCTCCTCTGTGGACTACCTGTACTCTGACCCTGTGGACAGCATCAAGACCCCCATGCCGGTGCCACGGCAACGACCCCAGGGGGATGAAGGTGCACGCAACCAGGGCAACAAGCAAGAGCCACTGTACTCGGACATCTACGACCGGGTAGACCTTACCCAGCGGACTGCAGCTTTGGTGCTCGATGGGAGGACGCGAAATGGAGCTCGGCAGGTGGAGGGGGCACCCATGGAGCACATCTACGATGAACCAGAAGGTCGCGGTACCCCCCAGGGAGCCACAGTCTATGATGAAGCCCGAATCGAGCCCCTGGCCTGGAGAAACCGAGGGCTGGAGGACCCACTGTTTGGCCATGAGTTCCCCTACAACCCCACCACCGATGATTACTCTGTCCCAGCATACGGCAAACAGCCACAACTCCGAGCCAAGGGCCCCAAGCCTCTCCCGGCCCCCAAACCTAACAAGGTGTTAGTGCCCCGGAAGGACCCGCCTCCACTGCCGCAAGGCAAGATAGGTGCCAACCTGAACAACAACAACAGCGGTAACGGGGCTAATCACACAGATGTCTACAGCCAGATCTCCAGACGCAAGTCACCATCCAGTGCTTGGCACTCCGGCTTGTCATGCTCTCCTGATGTCATCTATGACAACCTTGGGAACATCTAATTTCATGCAGTCATCTCGCCCGTCGTTTTGAGGTCTGCAACTTTCCTTATCTGCCTCTTTGTAATGCCCCCTGACCTAGGGATTGCAGGTGAGTGCAGAACTGGGGAATTTAAATAGTGCCTTCTGCTGGCAGGATATGCACTTAGATGAGTTCTATCACCACCTCCTCATCCTGTGGTGGAACATGTGACTGTGAGACTGGAGCTTCTTCGCTGTGTCCATTACATGCTCAGAGACTCTGGCAGAGCAGCTGATGGCCTTGCCCTGACACTCTATTTCACCACGGGATCCTTATACTGTTTTTCCCGTTTGGTCTGAGAAGAAGAGAGACAGGGAGAGAGGCACACGCTTGTTTTGCACAGTTTGCTCTCATAAGTTTTGCACAGGTCTCACTTTCTGCCTCAGGAAGAGATAACCACAGCAGGAATGTGGTTCTGTTGCTTCAGGGACTCCTGCAGTCCCTTTTCTGTCACAGTAGTGTTGCCCAGCACTGCTGGTGGACTCGTTGAAGGTTACAGATTGAATGAAGACTGTGGCTCCTTAATATTACCTTGCTGTTTTAACACCAGACCTGTCACTGAGCTGTAAAGTGCTTATTTCCTAACAATCTGGTATCATCATTCCTGAAACATGCTAGGCTATCTTCAGCACTTATTTTTTATTATTTTTTAATATATATAAGGGATAGCCTCTCATAAAACTATGAGCCTTGGGTGACAACCTGTTTGTGACAGCATTAGGTTTTGGGATCGCCACTTGAGTTCTGACAATCAGACAGAAGCAGCCAGAATTACTTTGGCTTGTTTTTAAAAGACAGAATATTGACTAAAGTTTGTATTTTACATGCAGTTAAGCTAATCCACTATCTTTTATGCTTTTCTGAAACAGCTGCACTGTTGTAAATAATAATAAAAGTATATTAAAATATACTTTTGTCATCATTCACCTGAATACAGTATTCATGCATGCTGGTTATTTGAAATATCATTACCTTTTAGAGTTTTATACCATTAAACTGGCCATTAAAAATGGCACATTGTCTGAACCCTTTCTGTTGAATCCAGTTACCATTAAGGTTTGCCAGAGAGAACCAAAGAATTCATTGCTTTTTGAATAACGACCAGTCAAAATAGCCTTGCTGGAGTTCCAGTTGGATGTTGCTTAAAGGAGTCTGTATGCCTGGCTTTGTTCACAAGGAACAAGCTGTTCCTCAACCTGTCGCTGTAGGGACTTTTTTGACGCTACTTCTTCATGCTGCCAGGATTAGAATCTGTTGACCGTGGTGTCATTCGTCTCCTGCCTACGCAATGAAATTAAAAAGTAGCTAAATCAGCTGTGACGATAAAACTAAAATCATAACAATTCTGGCCAAGTTCTCCACTATGAACTATGCTTATAAAAAAGTAAGGGATTTACTTTTCAAAGTAGCTTGCGTCTTTTACTCTGCTAAACCCATTTATGTTGTCAACACAAATTCCCACAAGGCCATTAACATCACTGAGAATGTCCTTATAGAAATGCCTAATTTAAATGCAAGAAGGGATTGTCTGTGTCTTGCGAGCAAAGGCGCCCTGTCAAAGTCGGCGGGTTCACTCTTTTTTTTTTTTTTTTTGCTTATATTTTTTTGCTCTGCTTCTGAATATCATTTCAATTAATACTTTTTCAAATAACCTTTCTGACTGACCTATGAACACCTCCCACTTAACATGTGAATTTCTCACACACACAAAGTTAGTGAATCGTTACCTTTGCCTGATGTCTAATGGCATTCCCTAGTGCATAATGTTCAGAAGCCTAGTTTTTATACCATTTTTGGTCACTCCAAAAATAGACTTCTTGTAGTTTCAAACCACCACAGAACCAGCTGTTGTTCCTCAACCAAAAAAGGTCTTGTTGATTTAGCTGAGGTGATCTACTGATATTACTTAAGTTCCTGTTTTCTGTTGTTCAACTTTTTTTTGTATACCAGGTTATTTCATTACAAAAAAACTGGAAACAATAGCAAAAAAGGGCATAAATTCTGTACAGAAATGTAGGTCATCAAGTAACTGTTTGTATGAAGAGGTGAGAAATGATGTAACACACTGAAGAATTAATGCTGATCATCTAGAAACAGCTTGCAATCTAATGTACTCCAGGGTTGTGAGCTGAAGTTCTGCCCCCAGTGTGTGTAGTTTTTCTGTTCTCCTCCTTTCACGTTCAGCTCTTTCTTACTGGGAGAGTGTGAAGTCACGCTTTACAATAGACGGGCCTCACCATCACCTTGTACTCCATAGGCGCCAATGGACTTGAATAGATAATACAATAAAGCAAATTCTGAAATGACACAGTTTTGTGCATGACAACTAGGCCTGTCACGAAAACTACTTCTTTTGGCTTATATATTGTCATAGAAATAATTGCAATAAACAATATTATTGTCATTTTAAGATCATTTTATGCCATTTATAGAAAGACAATATATTAGCATAATAATGCAAGTACAGTGGAACCTCGGTTCTCAAACTTAGTCCGTTCCAGAAGCCTGTTCGAGAACTGATTTGGTTGAAAACTGAATAAATTTTTCCCATAAGAATGTAAATTAGATAAATCCATATCAGACCCCCCAATGATTTGCCTATGTAAACCTGTATAAATACATACCTAACGCTAAAGCCATAAATAAAAACTTTAAAACCCATAAATATATGAAATAAATGAAAAAATTATTTACCCATCCCATACTCCGTAGCGAGATCAGACACATGAACACCTCTGTCATACTTTCCAGTTATTTCCTTTTTAAGCTCTTGTGGTTCTCACAACTTTCCTTTTTGCTTTGCTGCTATTATAACCTTCGTAGGACCCATGGTGGCCTATTTAAAAATAAATTAAGAGCAACAAAAGCAAAAAAAGCATGAGAATATTCACAGCACAATTCGGCGGAAATGTTCACAAATGTTTGCATAAGCACTAGACTGACTCATACGCACGCATTCCCTCCTTTTCCTTACGCGTAAAAAGATGCATTTTTTTGACATGAAAGGGTTGGTTGGCCAAGAACTGAAAATACGTTCAACAAAGGAGACATTTTTTTATTGAACAATATGGTTTAGAACCGAATTGTATGAGATGTAAGACATTCAAGAACCGAGGTTCCACTGTACACCCTTTCAAAAGAGCAATGGACTTTTAATTGTTAAGAATATTCAGACATTGGAATTTCAAGTGTCAAAAAATGTAGATATTCTGAATAAATAAAACATAAATAAAATTACACAACCAAAAAAAATAGATAAAATGGGGTCTCAGGTTATGTTAACAAAAATTGTATTAAATATCCAGCATTTAGCACAGGAGTATGGAGAGTCATTCATTCCTTTACAAGCAATATACTGCCAACCAAGTTTTGTGGAGGCTCTGCTCAGTGATGAGAATGAACCTTGGCAGGAAGTAATGTGAAGTCAGAAAAAAGTCGGACAAAGATAGTATATAAATACCATTTTCTACCTTCTATGATAAAAATGATAACAAAAATGACTAGCAGATGTGAAGAATGGTTGACTAAGAAAGTCGAAAAATACCAGGATTTATATATATATATTTTAGTGCTGTCAAACGATTAAAATTTTTAATCAGATTAATCACAGGGTTGCTGTGGATTAATTTCGATTAAATATCATTCATTTTTAATCTATATTAATCACATTTCATTTTGCATGAGCAAACAGACTCAAGAAAAAAAGGAATATATATGCACTTAACATGTTTATTGAACATCTTGAACATGAGTCGGATGCATTCCATCTGCCACAGAAATGCAATACCATGGACCGATATCAAAAAGCAAGATTTTTTTGCTTAGCCGGGCAACTTGTCGGATTTAAGGTACCTCAGTTTAAATGGTCTTTATCTTCATTCGCTTAATTGCCATTGTTAGCAATATCTGTTGATTACACATTACATGCGGTGCTTTACATATAAAACTCCGTAGCAACACATCCACAGATAAGTTGGACGGTATAGCGTGTGCAACCGATTTAATGAGCCACAAATGAGAAGTAGTGCTTAAACAGTATAAAACTACAACTTTCCCTTCTGTTGATATATTTATTTTTTCCGATTTAAAATCTAATTTAGCTTTAGGTGTGGTTTCATTAGTTTTTATTTTAAAGATGTAAATCTATTTAGTTATATATTTTACTTCCAGGGATAGATGGAAGGTTGCAGGACTTTGTTGACTACTGCAATAGCCATTGGCTATTTCTATGGTTCATGTTCATTGCACTAGAGGCCCAAAGACAAACAAATCATTACTTTAGCTAAATAGTATTTAAAAATGGCAACGGAAGTATTTGACGTTTGTTTTTACTTTATTTCAGTTACTTTCAAAATCAATATTCATAGTTATCGTTTAGTTATAGTTTTTATTATATTTCAATTTATGGAAATGTTTTTACTATTAATATTTTCCTTGTATACTGTAAGTACATAGTGTTTTAGTAAAATTCTTATTCTCAAAACATCCACAGCGCAATGACCACACGTCATAAACATGACATTTAAGAGAGGCTTTGCCTGTAGCCTGTTGGACCTATAAGTATGAGCATTCGTGAGATGGCAGTAGCAGTACAACTGGCTAAAATGCTTTCATGGCATTCATTCTTATATAAATACAATTTTAGAAAATATCAAGGTTAGAAAAAAATCATCAAGGTTATGTCCATGTACTGTGTGATAAATTGATAATCGTTGATAATTATCATGAGAGGCCTAATTACAATAGATCCGATGACAATCTGAAGATAGTGCCTGTTCAGTACGTAGGAGAGAACAGCCAGATGCATATTCTGTCCACAGAAGACGACAGACTCCCAACTTCTGAGTCATGAATTTTGCGACCATTAGATATTGTGCTGTGTTGACATTATAGATTTCTACTTAGGGCAGAGTGCATCCCACCCAGACAGAAGAAGGGGTAAATCTACCAGGGAGCTTTTTCGAAGGAGCATTAACATGGCTCCAGACTAACTTTTTCCACTAGTAGCACTGGTGCTCCTTACTGAAAATTTTATGAGCATCAGCACAAAATGTAGGCACACCATTTAAATCAACATGCCACACAACACATTCATATTATTTCCATCTTAAATATACTACTGATACATGTTTTGGTAAACATACAATTCACAAAAATAACAATATGATGTTTTATTTCAAAGGAAAAATCACAGAGTGAAATGGTGCTTTAATAGAAAAAAAATGGTGCTACTGTCATCCAATGGCCAAGCACGAGTTAGAGGACATCCTGTGAAGAACTGCCCCCAGCCCACGTTGCTATGACGATGACAGCCTCGCGTTAGCTCGCCACTCTAATCACCCTCTGTCTCGCGCATACACACATACTGGAAGCGCTGGGTATCATTTAGATTTTATCAATTCCAAATCTGATTCTGATTCTGCACATTGAATCTGGTTCTGACCGATTCTTGGTTCTGATTACGATACACACACAAAAAAAATGTCAAGATGTTTCAGAAACAAAACACTGCATTTATTTTCTTTAAAGAAGTCAGCTGCAACTTTTACAACAGGTCATTTCCCTAACTTAAAACAAAAACATGGTGTTTCAAGATCAAATAAATAAGATTAACAACCACACTCTGAATCTTGGATGCCAGTTTGCCACTGGTATCAGTAGCACTTTACTTTTCAGTTTAATTTCCCTAAACTGGAGATCCAGTACGCAGATCCAGTTTAATAATCATTAAACGGTAAATACGTCTAGTTTTATTCATACAGCAGCTTAATTCCAGGAGGTACATAAAACTAAATTAACCTTTGGGTTTAGCAGCAGGCTTATTTCCAAACTAACACCTGGCTTGCAGTCTTAGCAACAGAGTATTTTCGAATTAAAAATGGTAGCATGGGTCTAATTTTTGATACTGTTCAGACAATGCACTCTAATTAGAAAAACCAAGATACAGTTTCAAGGAAATATCGCAGTATGCTCTGCTGCCATTTTACTGCCCAAGCCGTTACACAGTTGATACACGTGTAGGAATCGGTATGTGGAATCATGATTCAAATGTCCTATCAAATTCCTAGTTCTTAAAAATTTAGAACTGTTTCTAATTTGGAATCCTACACACCAATCTTCACTCCATCCTCGTGTTTCACGTGATATATGATGATTAAGTCCTGCATTATTACGCAGTAAATTCCTGCGGGAGTATTTGTCGGATCTGGGCGAAGACAATTACCCTACTCACGCATCTCCTAGTAACCTTCCTCTGATCTCTGCCAGATCAGGACTGTAACTGAATTTTAAGGAGTCTGCAAAAAGCAAAACTGCTCTCGCAGCCCTTTTCATACACCCTCAAGTGCTCTGTGTAATATGGAAACTCTGTAGTCAAGTGTTCTCTGTAATTCAGCTTGTTTAGATATATTGTGAGAACTGACTTTAACAAGGATCTTAATACAATGTGGCAACTTGTTAAAACTGTCTGCCTCATAAAAGATTTAAATGAATGACATAGTAAGGCAGAATTAGTGAGTCTTCACAAAGAAGGAAATATGCAAAAGAAAAAAGAATAATTAATATTTTATTTATAGTAAATATGAACTGACGAGTAGATTCTGGCCATGAAAGTCAGGAACCTGGGGACTTATATGAAAACAAAAATCCAAACAATAAACAGCTGAAATAAAATATGCATATATTTTTAGAAAAGTGGTATTTCAAGAGTGAAGTATGACTGGCCTTCTAGAGTAGCTGGTAAGGAAGAAACAGAGACTGACATCACAGGGCTGGACATCTGGCTGGTTACAGTGTCCTAAGGGCGCTGGCAGGTCGCCATGTTTGTTGGAGCAGAGATGCAGGGCACCGCCACCATTCATAGCCAGAACTAAAAAGGCTTTGGGGCAGATGCAAACTGGAGGGGCGCCACAGTCGCCTTAGTTCTGCCCTGGACAGAAAGAGAGGCCCGGGGATCTGTGAGCAGTGAGCACCGCGAGGAGAACGAGATCCTGTGGAGCAATAGGGCAGGCCTAGGGTCGGCCATCATGTGTTACAATAGCATGGCTCATATGGGAACAGGACTATAGCTGAAGCAGGTTTCATGTTAGTTTACGCTTTTGAAAGAAAGTTCTAACTATAACATACAGGCAGCAGATAGCACTCATCATTGCAGTACCACAGTATTTAAATGTTAGCTATTGCAGACCTCAGTCTGTATCATGTAAATTCAGTTTCAGTATTGCTGTGGTGTCAGAAGTTACACTTCCTTTTTCCACACTCAGGCTTCGCATATGGTTTCCAAAGCGTGTCACGTTATGACCTATGTAGCCCGGGGGCGGCTGGCCACACTCAAAGCTTTTAACATGCTGAAGATCCTACATCTGACTCTTTTACTCTGTCATCTTACATCTCACGCTGGGCAGGCAGCAGCCTGATGCTGAAGAGCGAATTTCAAAGACGTGTCTAATTCGCTAAATCTTATTAGCCCTGACTGTCTAGTAATTGACTTTCCAGAGCCTGACCTTTGGAAACTTTCATCCACTATCTGATGCATCACCTGCTCTGCCTAAACGAATTTCTGTTCTACAAAGATGTGATTTTTATGAATCATATCAGGCGAGAACCATTAAAAAGTCATGAGTTGATGGCTGTGTTTTTTCAATTAACTGTTGAATGACAACACAAGAAAAATTGGTTTAAGATGGTAAGGGACAATAATAATACTAGACATGAAAGGAAAAGTTTTTTTTAAGGTGTAAGGACACGAGTCCTCAAAATGCTTACAAGGGAACTTTCCCAGAGGGTACTGGGATCTTATAAAAAAGCCAAATGAGAAAATGTATTATGACTGCCTGTTTTTCCACTATGAGCAGCTTTACTGTGATGCTGTTAGTGTGACACCCTATTCAGTACCATGTTCAATCCCGCCATTTTGAATCCTGGCTGGCTGATAAAATCTGCTTCACAGAAGCAGTCACTGTTTCAATGAAAGCAGAGAAAAATATTCTGTAAGAGGAGATCTAATGCACGACAAATCGAGCTGCAGGTTGCTTTTCACGAGAGCAGCCCCACCTAGTGTGCAGCATGTTGCACTCCCAGCTAGGAGCTTCTACACAGTAACGTGTAGAAAACATGGACAGGGTCCCATATCATAAACATATATTATCACCACTGCTACTGCCATGTAGTATTAATGTTTACAACACTAACTTCAGAAACCCTGACGGGTTTGGGAAAACTGGCAAAAAACTGCATTTGAAAAAATTAAGGATCTTTCAGGCGGTTTATGTCCTACAAGAGGTCTGCTCATCAGGCCCAAGCTCACTGCACATCTTCCTCACTGCCTGTTGCTCAAGCTTACCTTCTCTGCTCTTCCTCCTGTCCCTGTAAGGCGGACCGGTTTGACCGGCCGTTCTGGTGGCCAGGGCTGGTCCCTGCGCTGCAAAGTGTACGGGTGCGATCTGCGCATTTGGAGGACTCGCAACTGCTGGTAAAGGTTGGTCTTCAGGCAAAGAGGATTAAACACCGGATCCTCTTCCAGCTGTGCTAGAGAGTTCTGAGAAGGACCAAGATATCAAACTAGGACACTTGGATTCAATCCACAACTACAGGCAACACAAGACAACTATGCTGACTGTATCAGATCAAAAACTAGAATGAACATGGCGGCAATATCCAGGGAATTGCTAAGCTCATCAAATGAAATAACCCAAAAACAAGAATCTTTGAATTGAGACATACCTATAAATAGAAGGGTTATGCAGAAAAATGAAAGTTAAATATGATGTGACTGGAATGTTTGCTTCATTAACTTTTTTGGAGGCTGTAGATCATCCTGTCTTGTAACCAACAGGGGCTGGACACCGAAACTGAAACACTGGCCAATAAAGGTTTCACGCCTATATGTGCGGTCTGGTGGCCAATTTTCACTTATTCCACGTTCTGTCAATAAGAGCACAGTGTGAAGCTTGATTTAGTGGAGCAATAGTGCAGCTATACATAAAATATTGCAATCTACACAACATAATAGAAGACATATCAGAGTTCAAAAGCAGACAGATTGTTGGTGTGCATCTCACTATAGCGCATCTGTGACCAGGGCAGCGAGTCTTTGTCGTGTATCGAGAGCCACAGTATCCAGGGTAATGTCAGCATACCACCATGAAGGACGGACCACACCCAACAGGAGTAACTGTGGACATAAGAGGAAGCTGTCTGAAAGGGATTTTGTATCCAAAAACCATAAACCACAGCTGCCCAACTCATTGTGGAATTAAATGCGTATCTCGACTCTCCTGTTTCCAACAAAACTGTTCGTCGGAAGCTCCACAGGGTCAATATTCATGGTCAGGCTATAACCAAATTTTTGGTCACTCATGCCAAAGCCAAACGTCAGATTCGATGGCGCCAGCAGTGAATGTCTTGGGCTGTGGACACTGTGAAACATGTACTGTATTGTTCTCTGAGTCTACCTTCACTGTCTTTCTCACATCAGAGAGTGTTACGGTGTGGAAAAGCCCCACAGAGGTTTACCACCTGGACTGCTGCATACCCAGAGTGCAGCGTGGGGGTGATGGTTTGGCCTGCGATATTATGGCATTCCCTAGGCCCACTACCCAACCATTCACCCAATGGTTTAAATATTATACCCTGAAGGTAGTGCCATGTATCAGGATGATAATGCACCAAAACACACAGCAAGACTGGTGATCGAGTGATTTGATGAACATGAAAGTGAAGTTGAACATTTCCCATGGCCTGCAGTCAGCAGATCTCAATATTATTGAGACACTTTGGGGTGTTTTTGAGGAGAAACGCTTTCCTTCACCAGCATCACGTAGTGAATTGGCCACAGTTCTGCAAGAGTAATGGTTCAAAATCCCTCTGGCCACTGTGTAGGGCTTGTATCTCTCATTCTCAAAATGAAGATGAAGACTCCTCGTCTTAGAGGAATGTATTATGAGGAGAGGTTAGCTGAGCTGAATCTACTCAGCCTCGAGCAAAGGAGACTAAGGGGGGACATGATCCAGGTATATAAGATTCTAACAGGTCTGATTGCTGTTCAGCCAAATAGTTACTTCAATATTAGTTTAAATACTAGAACTCATAGCCATAGGTAGAAATTAGTGGAACATTTTTAAATGTATTTGAGAAAGTACTTCTTTACACGGAGTCTTCCTGCTAGTGTATTGCAAACTAAAACCTTGGGTTCCATTAAATCAGAGCTAAATAAGATTTGAACAACTCTGAGCTATTAGTTGAGTTCTCCCCAAACGAACTTGATGGGCCAAATGGCCCCCTCTCGTTTGTAAATTTCTTATGTTCTTAATTCAAATGAAGCTGTATTTGTATTATTATTATTAATTAGTTATTAATACTTATTAATAATTATTAGGCCGCAAAAGGAGGCCCTAACACCATACTTATAAATTATTGTGGTCTAAAACCATGTGTTTCACTTTCATTGTCTAACCCCTGTACTCTGTGTTTGGAAAAACCCCTGTGACACTGGTACTATGAATCTATCCTTAAATAATTTTTTTTTTTCAGATAATGGCTGACATTACGTTAAGAAGTGTAAATTACTGTACTGTACATTTCCTTTGTCATAGGTCTGATATCAAGTCCCACAGTGAATCGGTATTTTTCTTCCCTTATATGCCTGGAAGGATCATAAAGAAACATCTACCTCACAGTAAGACCCGACAGCACTGTTTGTAGCCAGCTTTTGACTTCAGCTTCTGACTTAAATATTGGACTTTAGCTTTGCTAAGTCAGCGTGATCATAAGGTTGGGAATTGTAAATGGGGATGAACTGAATACCACAGAAAAGATAAAGGAAAATAAAGCAGCCACTCTGGTGCATGAGCAAACAAATCATGCTCAAGCAAAGGCACATTTGTGTGTACAGACAAACATAGTCAGGATTGCTAGACGAAAATTTATACCTTCTGGGGGAAAAGGGAGAGTTGTACCTACTTGACACAAGAAACCCTGGCAATGTGACAATTAATTTTGCTGTTAGTATGTGTATCTTGAGCTGGGTGGCGATCAGTGCTGGTGTGCTGAAGGACCTGGGTTCAAAGCTGGGGCCAGCCATGTGAGTTCCTTTCAAGAATTTCCACCTGGGATGATGCATCTTAATCCACTCTGTTTCTTTCCTGTCCTCCATACCTTGGTTCAAACTGCATGTTTTGACGCAGCCGCAGACTGGTCTGTCCAAACACGGGATGAAGTGATGCCCTGTGTTCCACCCATAACTTTAGTTCTAACAACACCTACACAGTTTTTTCTGAAGGTCAGCAGATGGCTCAGACAGCCAGACAGCCATCAAATGTCTATTTGTATTATTTCATTTCCTCTGTTCTGTTTTGACTTTTTCTACTGAGGATTTTGATGCAGTCTAAAATAATGTACTGATCAAAATAAGAGAAAGGGTGACATTTTTGTAATTTACAAAGTCGCAGCTTATCAGAATTTAGTTACATAACATAAATATGAGATATATTTTAATCATATTTCATCATGAAAGCTCACACATCACAAAATAAAGGTTTAAAACAAGCAAATTTGGACAAAGTCTGTGATCAAAATTAGAGAATGATTTGTTATACTTCCCGGTTTTTGGCTGTAATGTGAAAAATTCCAAGAACCCCAATCTCTTTGTCAGCATTGGTAGGCATTTTGCAAGGTGACAAACCCTGTGACATCACTTTGTTCAGAGGACGACTGATTGGGTGACTTGAAGCCACTGGAAGAGAAAATAGTTATTCCAAGAGTTTCACTTCTTGAATTCACTTCTTGAATAGTGAAAATGTACAAAATGTAAGTCATTCAAGTTCGAAAAACAGGATGGTCACCCACGTAAGATGAGCATGCAAGAGAACAGGATGACAGAGACTGCCATTAAGAGACTGGTTCAACACTGCAGCAGGAATTGCCCACCAAATCAGCTCTGGATTCCACAGTGACCAAGCCACTCATCAGCAAGAAGAATAAAAAGGCTAAAATAGCCCTCTGCTGAAAAGCATGTTGGGTGAACTGGTCCAAAGTTCATTTCAGTAACAAAAGCAAGTTTAATTTAGTTGGTTCAGATGAGAAACATTATACGTGGCATTGAATTGGGGAAATACTCCAAAAGTGTGTGAAGAAGTCAGTAAAGTTCAGAGGGGTGAGTGTTGTGGTGTGTGGTATGTTCCCTGCAGCAGGCCTCTCATATAGCTACATGACATGGTGAATGCTAATGTGTATTCTGTAACAATCCTTTATGTAATAATGTCGCATTATATAATAGCGAGAAAACGTAACAAATTTTCATCACATAATGCAGTGTGTAACAACACATTTTATGTAACAGCACCACATTGTGTAGTAGCTCGACAAAATCTTACAAATCTATAGGCTACATTATAATTTTATACTGAAATAGTAACCTTTTACAATTATCATTATGATTTTCATTATCATCATCATCATCATCATCATCACATTGTCCAAAAATGAGCATCAGCGTGTTTTTGTGATCCATTTCGGGTGAGATCTGTGTGACAGAATAGCAAGCAAAAGTACACATAAAGAATGACATAGAGAATAACAAGCTTTCCAGAAATGCAATTTCTAAGTTTGATCGCTACTGTAAAAACTTTATAAAAATATGTGAATATGTTGGTAACTAGGTTAATCTTTTAGCGTTTTTCACTACCATTATGAGAGTTTTTGCAAGTATGACACTACAAAGTAATCATTTTAAGTTAGGTTTCTCAAAGTGCATGTTGTAAAATACCTTTAAGTAGTACGGATTGTATTAGCTGAAAATTAGCTATTTTACATAAACTAATTAACTTTTGCACTAAAAACATTTGTATAATTCACATAAATGATGCAACTTACCTGTTCTGTGTTTATTCAAAAACAAAAGATTTAATTTAATTAAAAAATTAAAAGCAGAGCAGGGGTACGTTTCACAAAAGCATAGTTGCTTATTATGCTAGCAACTTACACATTTGGAACTGAATGGTTTAAGCTACATTGGGGAAAATAAGTATTTGATACAGTCGATTTATCAAGTTTTCCCACTTACAAAGAATGGAGAGATCTGTAATTTTCATCGTTGGTATACCATAACAAGTGTAAAAAACAAAAATTCAAGAAAATCACACTGTATGATTTTTAAATAATTAATTTGCATTTTATTGCATGACATAAGTATTTCACCTACCAATCAGCAACAATTCTGGCTCTCACAGACCTGTTAGTTCATCTTTAAGAAGCCCTCCTATCCTCCACTTGCTACCTGTATTAATTGCACCTGTTTGAATTTGTTACCTGTATAAAAGACACCTGTTCACACACTCAATCAGACTCCAACCTCTCCACTATGGGCAAGACCAAAGAGCTGTCTGAGGACACCAGGGACAAAACTGTAGACCTGCACAAGGCTGGGATGGGTTACAGGACAATAGGCAAACAGCTTGGTGAGAAGGTGCAATTATTAGAAAATGGAAGAAACTCAAGATGACTGTCAATCTCCCTCGGACTGGGGCTCCATGCAAGATCTCGCCTCGTGGAGTATCAATGATCATTAGAAAGGTGAGGGATCAGCCCAGAACTGCACGGGAGGACCTGGTCAATGACCTGAAGAGAGCTGGGACCACAGTAACAAAGGCTACTATTAGTAACACACTACGCCGTCATGGATTAAAATCTTGCAGCGCGTGCAAGGTTCCCCTGCTGAAGCCAGCACATGTCCAGGCCCGTCTAAAGTTTGCCAAAGACCATCTGGATGATCCAGAGGAGGCATGGGAGAAGGTCATGTGGTCAGATGAGACCAAAATAGAACTTTTTGGTATGGATTCCACTCGCCGTGTTTGGAGGAAGAAGAAGGATGAGTACAAACCCAAGAGCACCATCCCAACCGTGAAGCATGGGGGTGGAAACATTATGCTTTGGGGGTGCTTTTCTGCAAAGGTGACAGGATGACTGCACCGTATTGAGGAGAGAATGGATGGGGCCATGTATTGTGAGATTTTGGGCAACAACCTCCTTGCCTCAGTAAGAGCATTGAAGATAAGTTGTGGCTGGGTCTTCCCAAAACTCACAGCCAGGGCAACTAAGGAGTGGCTCCATAAGAAGCATTTCAAGGTCCTGGAGTAGCCTAGCCAGTCTCCAGACCTTAACCCAATAGAAAATGGAGGGAGCTGAAACTGCCCAGTGACAGCCCCGAAACCTGAAAGATCTGGAGAAGATCTGTATGGAGGAGTGGGCCAAAATCCCTACTGCAGTGTGTGCAAACCTGGTCAAGAATTACAGGAAACGTCTGACTTCTGTAATTGTAAACAAAGGTTTCTGTACGAAATATTAAGTTCTATTTTTCTATTGTATCAAATACTTATTTCATGCAATAAAATGCAAATTAATTATTTTAATCTGGATTTTTTTTCGATTCTGTCTCTCATAGTTGAGGTGCACCTACGATGAAAATTACAGATCTCTCAATTCTGTGTAAGTAGGAAAACTTGAAAAATTGGCAGTGTATCAAATACTCATTTTCCCCACTGTATCTAAGTTGCTAATGGGATCTTTTGATAAAAGTCCCCCAGTTCAGCAATAAAATATTGATATATTTTGTGAATTATTATATGATGCAAAGTAGTTGGGAGCGAGTGTTTGTTTTGCTTGGCAACAGTCAGCCAGTTTTTTGTGGAGGCCCGTAAATGTTTAAATAAATAATCAAGCAAAGTATTATCTGTTGTAACTTCCATCCATCCATCCATTAACTACCACTTGTTCGGGGTTCGGGTCGCGGGGGTAGCAGCTTCAGGATAGATACCCAGACCTCCCTCTCCCCAGCTACCTCCACCAGCTCCTCGGGGAGGACGCCGAAGGCGTTCCCAGGCTAGCCGAGAGATATAATCCCTCCAGCGAGAGATATAATCCCTCCAGCGTGTCCTGGGTCTGCCCCGGGGCCTCCTCCCTGTAGGACATGCATGGAAAACCTCTCCGGGTAGCCGCCCAGGAGGCATCCGCACCAGATGTCCAAACCACCTCAACTGGCTCCTTCCGACGTGAAGAAGCAGCGGTTCTACTCTGAGGCCCTCCCGGATATCCGAACTTCTCACCCTATCCCTAAGGGAGAGCCCAGACACCCTGTGGAGAAACCTCATTTCGGCCGCCTGTATTCGCGATCTCATTCTTTCGGTCATTACCCATAGCTCATGACCATAGGTGAGGGTAGGGACGAAGATGGACCAATAGATCGAGAGCTTTGCTTTCTGGCTCGGTTCTTTCTTAGCCACGACGGACCGGTTAAGCGCCTGCAAAACTGCAGATGCCGCTCCGATTCGTCTGTCCAGCTCCCGATCTCGCCTACCCTCACTCGTGAATGAGACCCCGAGATACTTGAACTCCTCCATTTGAGGCAGGAGACCGATGACAAAGGGCAGCCCTGGCGGAGCCCAACCCGCACTGGGAACACGTCCGACTTATTACCGGCAATGCGGACCAAACTTCTGCTCCGTTCATACAGGGACCGAATCGCCCACAGCAGTGGACCCCGGACCCCATACTTCCAAAGCACCCCCCACAGAGCACTTCAGGGAACCCGGTTGTAAGCCTTTTCCAAATTCACAAAACACATGTAGACTGGATAGGCAAACTCCCAGGTCCCCTCCAGTACCCTTGCAAGCGTATAAAGCTGGTCCAGTGTTCCACGGCCAGAACGAAAAGCGCATTGTTCCTCCTGAATCCGAGATTCGACTATCGATTTCACCCTCCTCTCCAGTACCCCGGAATTTTGTGATGAAAATTAGTTACATTTCGATGAGTTTAATAAGGCAGCATTATTACATAATGTGTTGCTATACCTTCATATTACTTGCTTAAACCTTTTGTTTTTTGAAGTGGGACAGTATTCACTGATGAAATATGATTAAATTGCACGTCTGCTATTCATGTTAGAATAACTACGGATAAACAGCAGCATTGTAAATTACAAAAATGTCACTTGCAGTATGCTATTGTAACCTCAGGCTGTAATACAGCTCTCACTGAGCATCTGGTAATCACTTAGGAAGGATGGAATATAAAAAGATAAACATTCTGAACCTATTGTGTCTCTCAATGGTCAATGGGACTCATTAGTGAACAGGATTGTGGGTACGGACAGGAACCTGTATGGTGGCGAGAGGGCCATCAGGGGAGTCCTCGCTGGACACCGGCATGTGGCAGGGCAGCAGCAGCTCCCGGCCGGCCACAGGCTTGAGCAGCAGTGAGAGGGAGGCGGACGGCTGGAGTACGTAGTGGGAAAACGCAGCCACGTCAGCACCGGCGCCAGGAGGCGGCTCATGCCGTGCCAGCAGAAACCAATCGCGACTCTGCCGGGCCCACAAACAGGACAAGGGCACCTCAAAGGGCTGGATCTGGCCACAGGTGTAGGTCAGGACTGCAAAGCGCAGGCCAGACAAGCAGAGCCTTGAACTGCAGACACGAACGCATCTTCCTGCTTGGCTCTCGGGCTCGGACTCACCCTGAGCGTGTGGCAGAGTGCGTGGAAGTGGTGGTGGTTCATTTCCATCTCATCCCAATCAAGATGGCAGCAGCTGGTGGGGCGGATGATGAGGGGCAGGCCATAGAGCACCGACTGACACACCCCTTCTGATTTCAGAGCTCTCAAACACAAACACACACTAGTTTATTTTATTTCACTGACCTACTCAAACAGTTTTGCATACACAAGCCTCTCATGTGCCACTTCTATGCTCGACAAAAACATGTGACAAGAAGGTACACGTGCATACTGCGGTTACACATTTTCCAGAGGTGCATCCACACATTTGCATTTACTGAAGCCAGGCCATTGTATGCGCATGGGGGGTGGGGGGGGGGACAGAGACGCTGAGCCAAGGCGTCCTCTGTGTTTGGAAACATCACAGTCAGTATTTAGCAGAATGAGTCGCTGTCAGTTTGTCATATGCAAAACATGTAAATGGGATATGGCGAGGCTGTCTGTGAGAGGAGATGGGCCTCTGTGACAGAGGAGAGGCAGCGGCCGGCTCTGTGCACACGAGCCTGTCAGCCCAGCATCACGGCTGCCCGCTGTGCTAAGCAGCCTTAGAGGCTGGGCTGCATTTCAACTGGCATTAAGCTTTTTCCGCTGCTCCAAGCCTACATGCCCAACTGGAAGGAACATTCATGGCACCTACTTCTGGACTGTTTGCACTGTTAATACCAGTGGAGTTCCGTACTGGGACCATCCTTACTTGATGACGGTCAGCTGGTGCGGGAACACGCTGTGACTGGCTGGGTCTTTTACTGGCAATGAGAAGTCCCGGATGCTCTCGGTCTTGGCACCAAGATCCAGAACGCCAGGCAGTAGAGCGGGACTCAGTAGTCTCTCCTGCATGTCACACTTCAAACAGACTGCAGGGGGCAGTGTACATACAAGGTTTATACCATTCAAGCCTAGACCAGACCACACTGAGCCATGTATTAGACTGAATATGGAAAGGCATTGATGACTGACATGAGTCTGTCTAGCAGAAGATATTGCTGTGTAAAAGGAAGCACGTGTGAATGGAAGGCGGGGGAGGTGGCCTGAAAGAGAAAACTGAGTAAATACCCGGGTGGGAAGCAGAGCCCTGCAGGGCTGGTGGGAGCAGCAGGTGCAGGTGCTCTCGTTGGCCCCCTTGGTCATGTAGCCATGTCTTAAAGACGCTCTCCAGAGAGATGCTGTCGTTGTCCACCTGCTGCAACTCTATCTCTGCAGCCAGCACTGGGATTTCTGCATGAGGGCACAGGGGGAGGGAGGGGAGGCTGGGAACTGGGCTGCCTTGCCAGACTGATAACCATTACGCCGGGAGACCCTGGTTAATACTGAGTTAGAACTTCATAAGACCAGTGGGTGAGCAGCCAGAAAGCTTCAGCATAATGAACAGTATCTCACCATATGTGCAACTTTTTAAAGACTGATGTATGACTCACAGGAAAAATGAAATGAAATGATGCTGTATTTTCCTTTTGTACAAGTATGAGTACAGGTACATATATTCCATCTTGCTCTTATTTGAGACACACACACACACACACACACATACATACAGGTGAGAGCGAAGCTTGGGATTTAAGTGCTGGGCCGGCCATTGATCCGGTGTCCCAGGGGCATTTTTAGTAAGGTTTTGGATTAAACGATTAAAACATTTTAAATGTCAATCCAACCCTCTTCCAACATATT